CCAAATTGCTGAAAGAGACGAGAAAGAATATGACGAAATCTTTAGATCATAACAAAGCATTCGGTTGGGCAGCTAACGACAATTCCGGCGTCCTCTCTCCATTTCATTTCTTAAGAAGGTTTCTTTCTTCTACTTTTAACAAGACTTTTAAGACTTATTAATACTTTTTTGTTTTTCCTTTGTTCTTTGGTTTGTAGAGTAAGAGAAAGAGACCCTAATTAATTAACTTTTGTATGTTGTTATATGAAGAGAGAATGGTGACAACGATGTAACAGTGAAGATCTTGTTCTGTGGTGTTTGCCACTCTGATCTTCATACCATCAAGAACGATTGGGGATTCTCTCATTACCCAATCATTCCCGGGTATCCGAAAAATCTTTCTCTCAGTACTTATCTTTCAATCATATATATAACTAGGAAGTTTACTAGCTACTTTCTTTCGACTATTTTGGTTTATTTGGTAGACATGAAATCGTTGGAATCGCAACAAAAGTTGGTAAGAATGTGACAAAGTTCAAAGAAGGAGACCGAGTAGGGGTAGGAGTAATAATCGGCTCATGCCAATCATGTGAATCATGTAACCAAGACCTAGAAAACTATTGTCCTAAAAGCGTATTCACATACAACTCTCGTTCATCTGACGGAACCAGAAACCAAGGTGGCTATTCCGACAAAATCGTGGTCGATCACCGCTTTGTCCTAAGGTTCCCCGATGGTTTACCAAGTGATTCAGGCGCGCCGTTGCTCTGTGGTGGAATCACCGTGTACAGTCCAATGAAGTACTACGGTATGACTGAAGAAACAGGGAAACATTTAGGTGTGAATGGACTTGGTGGACTTGGTCATATCGCTGTGAAGATTGGTAAAGCCTTTGGTTTAAAAGTTACTGTGATTAGTAGGTCATCGGAAAAAGAGAGAGAAGCAATTGATCTGCTTGGTGCTGACTCATTTCTCGTCACAACGGATTCTCAGAAGATGAAGGAAGCAATTGGAACTATGGATTTCGTGATGGATACGGTATCAGCGGAACATTCTCTGTTACCGCTGTTTAGTTTGCTTAAAGTGAATGGAAAGCTTGTGACTTTAGGCTTACCAGAGAAGCCACTCGAGCTACCAATCTTCCCTCTCGTTCTCGGTAAAAAAAGAAGAAAATAATGATCCTTATCTTATGTTTTGCGTGGTGTGGAAGTAATGTTTAGGGTTTGTGATTTTTTTTTGTTACAGGAAGGAAAATGCTGGGAGGAAGTCAGACTGGAGGGATGAAGGAGACACAAGAGATGCTTGAATTCTGTGCCAAGCATAATATCGTTGCGGATATCGAGCTCATAAAGATGAGTGATATCAACTCTGCCATGGACCGCTTGGCTAAATCTGATGTTAGGTACCGGTTCGTGATCGATGTGGCCAACTCCTTGAGTCCTGCTTGAGTAAGTTGAACCTAAAGGACATGTCGATCATGTCCAGAGTCTGC